CCTAACTCTCTTCAGTTCTATGAAGTATGAGAGAGGGAAGTAAGATGCAGAAGAAAAATTTGAAGCTAGCAGAGGTTGGTTCATGAGGTTTAAGTGCAAAGCGAAGCAAGAAATGCTGGTGTAGAAGCTGCAGCAAGTTATCCAGAAGATCTAGCTAAGACAGGCTTTCTTATTATGGGCTAATGCAGCTGATGACTTCAAGTTGAAACCAATGCTTATTTACCATTCTGAAAATTCTGGGGCCCTTAAGAATTATGCTAAATTTTAAGTCACAGCCCAGCCGGGCGTGGCTCAGCGGTTAAGCGTCAACCTAGGATCCAGGCAATCAGGGTTCGATTTCTGGTCAGGGCACATGCCCCGGTTGCAGGCTGCAGCCGATCAATGACTCTCTCATCATTGATGTTTCTAGCTCTCTCTCTCCCTCTCCTTTCCTCTCTCTGAAATCAATAAAGATATATTTAAAAAAATAAAAATAAAAAAATAAAATAAATTTTAAGTCACAGAGCAGTTGTGGCGTGAGAGATACCCTTGGCTCCTTCCCATGAAATTTCAACAAAGTAACCAACTATAATTCAACATAGAATTCCATACTCAACACAGAGGCATGCCTGAGAGACCCGCACACTGAAACATCTAAAGGTGGGCAACTGGGAATAAGCAGAGTGGTGAGAAGGGAGGAAAGCCCAGACAGTCCACAGACACAGCCCTGCAGCTAGGAGCTCAGGGCCTGGCCAGGAAAGGGAGAAAGCTAGCTGTAGCAGGCGCTTCCTTCAGCCTGCCAGGAGGAAGAGAAAGCTGCACGAGGCAGCCCAACAGAGTGAGTGGAGTGAACAGTAACTGAGCCAGCAGATACCTGACAGAGCATTGTGTTCTGCCTTGTGGCTATCCCACTGTTGGGCAGGGGTGTTTCTTACCAAGAAATGGAACCACAGAACCCTGCTGCCCCTTGGATTCCCAAAACTCACCTCCCATTGCCCTTGATGTTGGGTCAAGGAACATTTTATCTATAAACCAAGAGCTATTACAATAGAACCTCTATTTCCCTCTGTGACTGATCCCCAGGTTTGGTGCTTGGGGCAGGACCCCACAGAGGTCAGAGCTACCATTATGGTGAGAGCAAAACAAACCCCACCCCCAAGCAGCACAACTGTACTGTCCTACAGAAGCCTGTGAAGGTCAAGTCTGGAAGATCACAAAGTTAAAAAAATAATCTTGCAATTCAGCACCATCTACTGGAAAATCGTAGAAAGACCTCCTCAGAGAATGCTGCTATAGAAGGGACATTTATGCCTAGACGAAAGAGAGTAGAAAATACCATGAACAACCATGGTAACAAGGAAGAGCAGAAAGAAAATGAAAAATCCCCAGGAAGCAAGCTGGAACACATGGAAATATGTCATATAAATGACAGAGATTTCAAGATTGCAGCTCTGAAAATACTCAACGAGATGCGAGAAAATACAGACAGGCAATTCAGTGCACTAAGAAAATGAATCAATGAACAAAATGAGTACTTTACCAAAGAGATTGAAACTTTAAAAAAGAATCAATCAGAAATCCTGGAAATGAAGCATGCAATTAAGGAGATTAGGAATGAACTACTGAACATAGAAAACAGAGACAACCAGATGGAGGAAAGAATTAGTGATATTGAAGATAAGAATCTAGAAAATATGCAGAGGGAAGATAGGGACCTGAGCATAAAGAAAAATGAAAGAGCTCTATGAGAACTGTCTGATTCCATCAGAAAAAGCAATATTAGAATTATAGGCATTCCTGAAGAAGAAAAGAGGGACAAGGGAACAGAGTCTATTCAAACAAATAGTGGGTGAGAACTTCCCAAACCCATGGAAAGATCTAGATCCTCAAATCCAAGAAGCAAACAGAACATCTAGTTACTTCAATCCAAAGAGGCCTTCTCCAAGGCACATTGTATTAAAACTCAAAAATTAATGACAAAGAAAAATTCTTAAGGCAGCCAGGGAAGAGAAAGATATGATCTACAAAGGAGAACCCATCGGAATTTCATCCAACTTCTCAGCAGAAACTCTACAAGCCAGAAGGGAGTGGAACCAAATATTCAAACATCTGAAAGAGAGAAATTACCAGCCACGAATAGTATATCTAGCAAAATTATTCTTTAAATATGAAGGAGAAATAAAGACACTCAGATATATAGAAGCTGAGAGAATTTATTACCAGAAAACCTGCATTTGAGGAAATACTCAAGGGAGTTATTCTACCTGAAACGAACAAAAGGCCACAAGACTATGAGTAAGATCACCAAAAAACTTACAGCATAAACAGGAATAATTTGTGACAATAAAAACATAAACGAGGAGGGGGTAAAGGTCTGAACTGGCAGAGGATGAACATCAGATGCACTAGAAAGAAAAAAAACCTATTGTATATATGCAACTTTATTTTTTATAACCTTAATGGTGCTCTGGCTGTGGAACCTTGCCTGGGGTCTGGGCCATGATCTTTTCAGGGAAAAGACCCTCCCATAGCCTAGAGATCCCTTTTCACTCTTGACCCCCTGCCTGTGGAAGCTGGGCCAGCCCCTCTCATGACCTTGCCCTTCCTACCAGTCTCCAGGTACTTTCCGTCCTTACTTGATTTAAGTCTCTTCCTCAGCTGGACCTCAGTTGTTAATTCCTAGTGAATTTTCCCCAACTTAGTTTTATTTCCAGTCTGGCCCTGGAAGGAGGTGCAAGAAAGGTCTGCCTATTCAGCCTCCATCTTTTCCCTCTCTGAGGCACTGTTTCTAATGAATCTGAACCACTCTTATATTCACAGGATATACTTTTTAATCGATGTTCCATAAGATACAATGATCTCTTTTGGCTTTGTTATCAAAATTATACTAACCTCAGAAAATGAGTTACTTAGCTTTATCTTACTTTCCATTCTATAACTAGTTTGTAGAATATTGAGATATCACTTGTTCTTTGTAAGTTTGGTAAAATTTGCCTGTGAACTTTTATTGATTGATTTATTATTTATATTTTGCCGAGGGGAGTAGGTAGGTTGGTAGAAATGCTATATGGAAGTTAACAGGTTCCACAAATATCTACTTTGGTTGATTGTCAAAACATAATATTGAGTGGGGGGGAAAAGCAACATACCAAAAAATAGGTACAGTTGATATCATTTCTCTAAATTTTAAAAATATACAAAAATGTCTATATTCTTTATATATGTGTACATATTTGTGTGAAAGTATTTTAATGAAATGGGAGGGATACAAATAAAAATAATAGTGACTATCTCAAGAAAGAGGAACACACAAATAGAACTAGAAGCCATTGTGGAAGCAGGTCTTAACTTTTATTATATATAATTATACAAAAATTTTATGTATTTTCTCTGAAATAGCCTTAAACAATATTAAAATATCAGCAGTAATCCATTCTAGGTTGTGGGGACATAGAGGTGCTGGTAGTTATGATATGCATTATAATTTCTATATTTAAAAAAAATTTAGCCCTGCCGGGTGTGGCTCAGAGTTCAATTCCTGGTCAGGGCACATGCCCGGGTTGCAGGCTCGATCAATGACTCTCTCATCATTGGTGTTTCTATCTCTCTCTCTCCCTCTCCTTTCCTCTCTCTGAAATCAATAAAGATTTTTTTTTTTAATTTAATTTCTGACTGTTGAATTTTATCAGATGGCTTTCAGAATCTGTTGAAATGAACATTAGATGAATTATACTAACAAAAGTTTTAAAAATTATTTTTATTGTTAAATATATTATATTGGATTTTTAAATTATGTATTTTAACATGTAAGATACCACAAAAATATAAATGGTATGACCAACACCTAGTTTTATTTTATTATTACTCTGCTCCTTAAAAACTTCCAGTGTTTCTTTGTTCCCCACAGAATAAAGCCAGGGTTTGAGATTAACATCTTTCTAAATTTGACCCCTGTCTTTATTGACCAATTGTATCTGAAGCTGTCAAGCATACAGCCTTCTTTTTTTAAAAATCATAATTGATCTCACTTTCCCTAAATAGTCTTTCTTTTTTTATTCCTTTTTACACTTTTAAAAATGCCAATAATGTAATTCTCCTTCTGTTAGCAATCTGTTATTATCCTTTCAAATCTGTTTCCTATGTCATCTCCTCTATAATATTCTGTATTGTGTAATGTGTGTGTATATATAAAATTTGCCTGTACAATTAATTATAACTGGAGGAAGTAAGGATATGGAAATTAGTAAACAATATATCAACATGTCCAGATAATCAAAAAATATTGCATATGGAAGGCTACTTATTCTCTGTATAAAGTAGCATGGTGAAGATAGAGATGTGCCACATAGATTTCCCTTTAAGGAAGGACCTGTTGCTCTCACTGCTAGGAGTGCTATTCAGGCACACCCTTCAGCTGTCAGCCCCTTTAGGGATTGCCTCAACTACATAGAACTCCCGAGGGCATGCCCTTCCAGGAACCACCCACATCCAATGACTGATCAAGTTGGATGCAGAAAGGACTGGCTATTTCAACCCAATGCAGGACAATCATGATGGGTCCTTTCTGCTTTAGAGCTCTTCTTATGGTCAGTTGAGGCTGTTAGACTTGCATCAGAGCTGACCTTTCCACCTTCCCAATTGCTCTCCCCTTGCCTTCCATAGATACTGAACCAAAAGGCACTCCCAATAAACATCCTGAACACTAACTCCACCTCAGAGTCTATTTCCAAGTGAATCCAAACTGCAGTCTAAATAGTTTGTTTACACTCCTGTTATAGCCCTTATCTCTGTGTTCTGTATATATATGTATCTTACTCCCCTCTTGAACTATGACTAGCTTGAGGGCAAGGACCATCTTTGTATTCCTAGCATCTAACACAGCAACAGCATTCTAGGCTTCAGACACACACACAGACACACACACACACACACACACACACACACATTAACTGAGCAAATTTACCAAATATAAAAATTCTTTAATTTAGAATTTTAAAGATTTTATTTTAAATGTTTTCCAGCTTTCAGATGAAATGGAGACAAAGAAGAATATAGAGGTATTTAAAATTTCTATTTTATGAAATTATGTATCAAGGTATTATGTGGAGGTAAAAGAATGTTTATAATAACAGATGTAGCTATAAATAGAGATGGGGACCCTAGGAGAGAGATTTAGGAACAGATATAGAAGCTTTCTTTTTCTGCTTAGTCCATTTCCTTATGTGTAGCCTATCTAAAATTCTTGACCATTTGAGTTATATAAATTTAGTTCTGAAATATAAGTTTGTTTTGCTTTTGCATTTGTCATATGAATATGCCAGGTCTCTTAATTTCAGAGAAGCAGATAGTATGATTTTTCTTAGGTGGGATAAGTATTTTTCAATTTTTTTCATAAAAAGAAGTAAAATAATTACCTAATGATAGTTGCATATTTACCTGTCTTCTATAGTCATATGAGACTACTAAACTGAAAAAAGTAAAGTAATTACTGTTATATTTCCTCTTTCTAGGGTTGCAATTTTTCAGGATTCAAAACAAATGAGCTTACTCAACTACCCAGACACTTGGATGCTGAACGAATCTATCTTTTTATTTTAAAAGTCCATAACTTTGATGTATGTAAATATTATTTTAATTTTATTATATGATAAATTTTGAGGATATGATTTAATGAATCAGACCTTTATTTAAAGATCTGACAGATTAAGTGTTTAAGCAAGGTTTAATCCTTTGAGTATTGTGTCTGGCAGGAAAGACCAGTGATGTTTATACACCCTGATCACCAGAAAAGAATGTGTTAGACCTGTGTTCCTGTCTCAGGAGTCTGAGGTTGCTAGTGTGTATTGGCTTGTCATGTGACTATAGCAAGTATTTTTCCCTCCCTTTTCCTGCTCTATCAGCTCAGGATATTTTAGCCTGCTCATTTTGACAACAAAATAACTTATGAGAGCTCTTCCCTACAACCCCACCTTTGAGCCTCCAGGTGTCTAAGGAATTTTTGAGTAGTATCCCTACAGAGTAATTAATTGATGAAAAAACTGTAGGCATAGGAAAGTAACTAGATCATTGGCCATTGTTCTAGTAGGTTGAGGGTTGGGTGGTTACTGGCATTGATTTCCCACTCAAATTTTAGGTAGTTACCTAACAAGGCTTCTATGTCCTGGAGGCTTAATCAATTCTCCTTGTACCCCTGGGCAGATTTTTTTTAGACAGTTCTCTGAGATGGACTTGGCCCCTACTAGGCCCTCTTCCCCATCTCTCACCCTTAGGCTTAGAGTGGCTCTTTATTTCTCAACACAAAATCCTTGTTGTTTTCTCTCCTACTATAGTCTACAGTTCAGAAGGAGCATTATCAACCATTAAACCTGGATGAATCCATTTCAACCATTATTTCCTGCCCCCTTTTCACTCTCTTCAAGATAAAGGAGAGTATATCTCTTCAGTGTTCCATCTTCAAGATGCATTGTTCCAAGAAGTAGAGTGTGTTTGACCTATTTGGCTTTCCTGTTTGCCCCTCAGTTAGGAAACCACAGGGCACCTTAGTTTACAACTCCACCTAGAATGGTTCAGTAATGACACACTCTCTTATTTTCCATGCTAATACAAATGTTTTTCAATTCTCGGGATTTTGATGAAAGGGAAGGGTTAACCTGCCCTCTTAATCTAATCACCTATTCCCATTTTTACAGAGAAAAATTATGGGTGCTAATTGTAGTTATGCCGGGTCATGAACATATTGATTCCTTTCACTAACTATACTTTCCAAGTTGCCTCAGGAAAAAGGTTTTATTGTTATGGAAATAAATTAATAAAATTATTGTTAAAATAATTTTATGGAATATTCTTCTAGGTCATCTATAATACTCTTTCTAACTGTAATATTTTGTGTTCTAAGGTGGAACTACATTTTAACCATGGGTGTATATATGCTTACCACAAATCACAAGGCAATCACATAAACATGGCATAGAAGTTACAGCTGTGAGGAATTTTTAGTACAGTTAACTTGGAAGATGCTGGCATAAGTGAAATACCTAGGAAAGTGAGGAGTGGAAGTAGATATGGGCAGTAAGGGTGAATGTGTGTGTGTGTGGAGGGGGATATGAACAGCAGCTGGATTAGGATATCATGCGTTTGTGTAGCAAAGGCAGATTTGGGCTTAGATACCCAGTATTTATTAATACCTTTACCTTATTTAAAAAACAAATTTAAATTGGCTTACTAGACCATGTACAATGCAATAGCATTAAAATAAATAGATGATAAAATTAGAGTGAAGAGAAAATAAGCTTAGGAAAATAAAAATAGCAAAGGAAAGGTTATTTCATAGAAATGTTTACACCACAGAGCAACAATAATCAAAACAGCATGGTATTGGCAGAAAAACAGACACACAGACCAATGGGACAGAATTGAGAGCCCAGAAATAAAACCACATGTATATGGGCAAATAATTTTTGACAAAGGATCCAAAAACACACAATGGAGAAAAGAAAGCTTCTTCAATAAATGGTTCTGGGAAAATTAGAAAGCCACATGCATAAGAATGAACTAGACTACAGTTTGTCCTCATGTACAAAAACTCATTCAAAATGGATCAAAGACCTAAATATAAGATCTGAAACAATAAATTACATAGAAGGAAACATAGTTACTAAACTCATAAGCCTTGATCTTAGAGAAGATTTTATTAATTTAACCTCAAAAGCAAGGGAAATAAAGGCAAAAATAAATGAATGGGACTACATCAAACTAAAAAGCTTCTGCACAGCAAAAGAAACTGACAGCAAAACAAAAAGGCAGCCAACCGAATGGGAGACGGTATTTTTAAACAACAGCTCTGACAAGGGGTTAATATCCAAAATATGTAAAGAACTCATACAGTCCAACACCAGACAAACAAACAATCCAGTTAAAAATGGGCAGAGGACCTGAACAGACACCTCTCCCAAGAAGACATAGAAACGGCCAACAGATATATGAAAAGATGCTCAGCTTCACCAGCTGTTAGGGAAACGCAAGTCAAAACTACATTGAGATACCACCTCACACCTGTTAGAATGACTGTTATCAACAAGACAGGTAATAAGTGTTGGAGAGGTTGGAGAGAAAAAGGAGCCCTCATCACTGCTGGTGGGAATGTAAACTGGTACAGCCACTGTGGAAAGGAGTATGGAGGTTCCTCAAGAAATTAACGATAGAGTTACCATATGACCCTGCAATCCCTCTTCTGGAAATCTACCTGAAAAACTTGAAAACATTTATTTGAAAAGATATATGCACCCCTATGTTCATTGCAGCACTATTCATTGTGGCCAAGACATGGAAACAACCAGTGTCCTTCAATAGATGACTAGATAAAGAGGATGTGGTACATATATACTATGGAACACTACTCAGCCAGAAGAAAAGATGAAATACTGCCATATGTGACAGCATGGATGGATCCTGAGAATATTATGCTGAGTGAAATAATTCAGGCAGAAAAAGCTAAGAACCAAATGATTTCGCTCACACGTGGGATATAAAACTGAAACTCAGACACAGACAACAATATGGTGGTTACCAGAGGAAAGGGGGCTAAGAGTATAGTAAAGGGTAAAGGCAGCCAAATATATCGTGATGGAAGATGACTTGACTTTGGGTGATGGGCACACAGTGCAATATACAGATCATGTATCATAGAAATCTATACTTGAAACGTATATAATCTTACTAGCCAATGTCACCCCAATACACTTAATTAAAAAAAGAAATGCTTACAATAGCTTACAAGATTTGAACTTATGGATCTGTAGCTCAGAAAGAAAAGGTCACAGTGCTACTATTATATGCCCTTGACTTCAGTGGCAATCCATTGAAATGACTGAGTTCCCCTTACCCCATCCAAACACATTCCTGCACATACAGTCATAGATTAAGTTTCTTAATGAACAAAAGTGTGTATTCTGCCCTATATCACACAGAACATAACGCTGGCTAGAGATGATGCTCAGTAAAAATATTATTGAAATGAATTGTGAAAAAAGGTCTTATATATATAAAGAAAGCTGAGCCACAAGCATACTTACATACACAAAAGAAATTCAAGAGAACATTAGAAGTAATTTTGTCCAACCTAGAGTCAATTTAGAAGAAAAAGTTCCAAGTCAGATAATCTACAGGTTTTCAGATATATTTATATTTACTTGAAGCAAAAACGTATCACAAAGGTGAAGGGGTTGGTGAGAAGGAGAGAACCATTTAACTTTTTAAACTGGGTTTGGGTTTGTTTTCTTTTTCCAATTTCTATTTTTTGGTTGTTTTGACTATTGATATATTTTTAAAAACCTGGAATTTTCTTGAAAAAAAAAAGGAAGTGATGATAAACATAACCAAAACTAAGACAAGAAGCAATCATGCAGTTAGTTTGCACTAAAAAGCATTTTTGCTTGAAATATGCAAAGAATTTAAGCAAAAGTATTCAGCTTTTGCCCCTGTATTTCAATTTATCTACTTTTTTTATTTATATACTTTACATATGTTCCTTGTAATTAAGAAGTACTAAATCTAAGTTGATGTTGTTACCAACATAAGTGGCCTGTGAAAGAGAAGTGCCCCCATAGAATACGTGATAATCTTGGTATAAAAGTTTGCACGATGTTATGTTTTTTGTTCTTGTTGTTTTGTAGACTTGTACTTGAGGAACAGGAATTTATACCTATGTGTTTCATTAAAAGAAATCTTAAACTCTACTGAATCTGGCATTTAAAAACTTTTAGTTGAATAAAATAAAATAATCTATTGAATGTACCTGTTTAAACCAAGATTTATAGTCTGTAATAGTCACAGTAAATAGATTTAACCTTATGGGCCAATTTTGATCCATTGCTTAAAGAGAACATGTTTAGATAAGGTCTAGAGTTATAATGGAGTTCATTGGTATAGAATTCCATGATTGTTGATATCTGTCTTCAGTGTAAATGAGAAATTGTAACATATCTTGGATTTTTGCTATTCTTTATCTAGCCTACACTGTCATTTCCATAGGTCCAAGTCAAGTGTGATTATTGAGCATATGGAATGTGGCTAATACAATGGGCCTGAATTTTTAAATTTTATTTTAATTAATTTATATATAAATTCAAAAACTAATACTTGATTCATTTATTTAAAAACTTTTGGGTATTGTTGAAACAAGATTACAACCATGTATTTTATGAACTCTAAATACTGATCTAGTATTTACGATGAAAATTTAGTGTTCAAACTGAGATGTGCTGTAAGTATAAATTATACGATATATCTTTCAAATTATACGATATCAATAAAAAAATATTGTAAAAGATTTAATTAATTTTTGTTATATGATAATAAAATGATAATATTTTCAATATAGCTGATTAAACAAATGTCATTAAAAGTAATTTCACCTTTTACTCTTTTAAAGTGGCTACTAGAAAATTTAATATTACATATGTGGCTCCACATTAAATTTATATTGAACACATACTCTTTGCAAAGCCTGTTTACATTAACGTCTTATAATGTATTTTAGTTTGATCCCCATTTGTCTTTTTTTCCTGTAGGAAAACGTTATTAAAATCTGGAGGACTCATTTTCTCTCAGAAGCCTCTATTGCTCTTTTGCATGATTCCTTTTGGTGGTGGTTTCTCCATAGATTTAAGGTATAATGATATGTTTTAAACTTCTTTTTTAGGTTGATTTGCAGCATAATTCATTTTTCAGTAGAGGTAGCACTGGTACAAAAAAAAATGTTTTTCTGGATCCTTTTACAGAGCTTGTTTTTTTTTTTCAGTATTCCATTTTTTAGTTTTAGTTAGAAATCCTTGTTGAAATCTAGAGTTCTTTCAGAGGATTAAGACTTTAATATGGATTTCAAAGAACCTGGGTCTTCATTTAATCAGAAAACGATCAGTGAAATCAAACGTTGTAGCTTTACTCAACACTATAATTTGCTGATAAACACTCAACAGAAGGTGCACTGCAGATTAGTAACCTTGAAGGAAGTTTTCATTTGGAAAACAGTCTACAGATTAAATGGAGAGAGGATCTCACTTGATTCAGAAAGGTTAGGACTCTGATTAGGATTAAAAAGAGAAAGAGGCGGGCATCTGGAAAACAATAAGAGAAGAAATGAGCAGCACATAAATCTTACAATAGAAAACACGTGAGCCTAGAAAAAGTGGTGAATATAGATGACAACTGTTTAGACTCTGGATCTGGAAGAATGGAAAATAGAGCAACTCAGGGCATCATAGTCTAAGCATTAAGAAGGTGTGCCACCCCATCAAGGAAGCCTGCAAATGGACTCACCTCCCCACCTTCCCCCAGCTCAAATTACCCACAGAAAACTGCTTATGAATCTTCACAGAAACTTCATACCATAAAGAAGTGGGTATTACCAATTTTACATATAAGCTATTTGGTTTGTGCTTTAATATAATTCCAGGTAAGAGTATTTCTGATATTGTTAGGAGCTGAATGAGGCACAGGAAGTAACATATCAATTCTACAAAGGTAATTTAATTACCTAGGGAAATTTCTGAAATTGGGAGCTTCATTATCTTACATTTCTTTTTCTAGATCTGGATCCCAAATTTATGTTTTTCTATGATAACAGAGAAAAACCTTACTTTCCCACTAAATCTGTTTGGATTATATAAAACAAGCTTTTGAAGAAATAATCTAGCAAAGTTCCTAGAAACTTCTGTCAGGCCATAGTATTTTTTTATTCTGAACAAAACACAGATTTGACACAAAAATATTAATGTCCCACTACATGTATAGGATTGTTCTTGGAATAATAAGGAATTTGATTTTTTTATCTTTAAACTCTCTAGGAACTACTGGCTTTCTGAAATGAAAATGTAATAATTTTAAAGTATTATAATTTAATAAAATTTTCAGGATCATTTGTGATTTTTTACTCGTTTTGAGGCCCAATATGTGATTCAGCTGGTTAATATTCTGTTAGTGTTCTAGGGGGCAGTTTGGGGATGCAGGTCAAACTGAAGCAAAATTTCCATGATTTAACAAGAACGGTTCCTTATTCATCTGTTTTTTTGTTTGTTTGTGTGTTTTGTTTTGTTTTTCACTATTAAAGTAACTTTATTTAAGAGGAACTTTAGAAGTTAGTGTGCAGAGAAGTTGTTAGGACCTTGTGAACACCAATTATATACTTAAATAAATCTTGGACACTACTACAAAACAACATATTATGAATATTGTGGACCTGTCTATGTTTATTTTTTAATCTCACTCCCCCTAAATAAGGAGGCCAAAATAGAATATTCAAGAAATGTAGCAGAAAACAACACCCAAGATTAGGCAAAACCACACATTTTGTTTTCTCTTTGTCCAGTGTGGTGGAGGAGCACTGGGAATTGTACAAGCCAGTTTGTCAGCTTTTCATGCTCCGTCGCTGAGCTGAGCTTGAGTCAGCAACGGGCTCTCGGACTGGTTGGAAGGTCTTGTGAGCCAGGCCACTATGTGGCAACCACTGCTCCCTTAACGACATATCATGTATCACTTCTATTTGGCTGATCATTTGGCAACTGCCCTCTGTGGGTTATCCATGTGTGTTTTAACACTTGTTCTGTAGTGTGCCACTGATGTGGGTCCATGGGTAGCAAATGGGACAGCAAATCCTTTGCTCCAACTGAAATACTGTCCCAGTTTCCACCTCTCAATGAGAAATTTCCATTGCCTATATGCAGCAGTATCACTTCAGGAGTATCACTGAGGCTGTTAGCAAATGGAGTGTAGCCAGCCAACATTGTGTAAAATAGGACTCCCAGACACCAAATATCACAAGCAGCATCATTGCCCTGTTGCGTAAGAACCTCGGGTGCTACACAATTTGCAGTGTAGCATGGAGTTGAGAGAAGTTCCATTTTTTCCTTGAAGTTGTTTTGCAAACCCAAAATCACAGATCCTAATGGAGCCCTCATTGGCTGATTCAGCCATGTATAAAATATTTCTAGGTTTAATATCACGATGAGCAACTCCTCAACAATGAATGTAGTCACTGTCCTAGTTATTACAATCAGTAATCACTAGCTTCCCGTTCTACGAAATGTTTTTGTTCGAAAATACAGTCAAGTAGCTCTGCTCCTTTCATCAAATCCATAACAAGTTAAACTTATCTACCATCACCATAAATAGTCTTTAAAGTGATAATGTTGGGGTGTTGTCCATAGCACTCCAAAATTTCAATTTCCTCTGAGGGAATCTTACTTTTGGCAAATAGTCTTCACTGCAAACTCCAGGTTGGCTCCTGTTCTGTTTGCAAGTGATGCATACATACAGTCACCAACAGCGGTCTCTTCTTTCAGTTCATACACTTCACCAAAGTGTGCAGCATTTCCACTTATCTGAACAATTGGTAATCCATTTGCCCTTGTGATAGGAGTGGTTTTATATCCTTCTGCAATAGAAATTGCAACAAAGCAGAATTCTCTGAAGAGTTGATGAGCATTAGCAGTGGCTGGCAAACCAGGAGACTCTAAGTGTTTTTGTAGTAAATTCAGTATCAAAACAAAAAGTATCATCTGGTTTTCCAGAAGCAAGCTTGAAAGGAGGTTGAACTTCTCTTTCATATAATTTTTCCAGTCAATATTTGCAAAAAAAAAAAATTTTTTAATGATGTCTTTTGATTTCTTCAGCTCCTTCTGAACCCAGTCTGTTTTCTGGATTCCTTTTGAGTAACACACTTAGAAGACTATGCTTCAGCACTAAGAAACTGAGGCATTCCAAGTTTTGCTTTTTTTTTTTTTAAATATATCTTTATTGATTTCAGAGAGAGGAAAGTAGAGGGGGAAGAGAGAGATAGAAACATCAATGATGAGAGAGTCATTGATCGGCCGCCTCCTGCATGTTCCTGACTGGGGATGGAGCCCGCAACCCGGGCATGTGCCCTGATCAGGAATCAAACCCTGATCGCCTGGATCCTCGGTCGACGCTTAACAGCTGAGCCACGCCAGGCAGGGCAAGTTTTGCTTTTAATATCATGTTCATGGTCTCATTTCTGTCTTTACCTTGAAGGGGCAGTGTAGCAGTAAGCATTTCAAACATAAGTATACCACATGACCACCAATCAGCACTCCAGAAATGACCTCTCCTATTTTCTACTTCAGGAGCCATATACTTCACTGTACCAGAAAATGAGTAGGCCTTCTTTTCTAGATCTACTAATTCTTTGCTGAGTCCACAATCTGTTAACTTGATATGTCCTATTTCCTCAAGCAAAGTGTTACCCAGCTTCAGGTCTCTATACACATCTTCCCCTAATCTGTGAAGATGATGCTAAGCGTGGGCTAGTTCTGCAAGGTAGACTTTCACACCTTCCTCTGGAAACAGAACCTCTTTGGATAATCTTGTGAAGACACCTCCTCCCCTGAGAAAATCCATTATTAAATACAGCTGCTTTTCAGTCTGAAAGGCATAATGCAACTTGACAATTAACTGATGATCTACTTTCACCAGCATATCATATCCCTCTCCATCTTTGTCTGAACTCTGTCTTGAACTTCTACAGAAGCTTTTTATAGCACCTTCATTGCATAGAGCTGCCCAGCATCAGGGCCAGTCTGCTTTCTAACATGAAAAACCTTTCCAAAGGATCCCTGACCGGGAACTTGGAGCAACTTATATCCTTCTCTAATGTGACGAGTAATAGGAATTTCTTTAACTCCTTCATCTTGGCAAGAATCTGCTTCTCCCTCTTCCATTTTAAGACGATTTACTTGTGCAGTGCCTGGAACCCCCCCCCCAGCTGCAGCACAGGGATTCCCCAGTCTGGGGTGATGGGGGTGTGGGAAAGAGAGGAGGGGGGTTGCTGCGCAGCGGAGGCAGGAGAGCTCATCTGTTAGAAATTGCATTTCATCCGTGAATTTATTTCTAAGAGAGCTTATTGTTAGAAGTATGTATATTGAAGCCAGTGAACTAAATAAGTAACATGACATCTTAGGAGGCCCCTAAATCCATCAAGTAAGTGTGGTGGGACACCCACACGTTTTTACCAGCATTGTGTGGAAATAGATCCCCTCCTGGAATATTACAGTTTTCTTAGGTAAGCTATTTCAAGCTGTATTACATTTTAAGATGAACACAAAACACATGAATTCTATCTGCTTCATGGTCCATTTTATGAAAAATAAATAATTCTGATTTTATAACTGGAATAAAATAAAACTTAGTCACTTACATAATTTAATTACCAATAACATATAGTATGCTTCAGCATGCTGACTCTAAAACTTATTTTAGAAAATGTTGTATGATTAATGTAAGAGCAAATTTTGTTTATTTAGTGCCTGTGATTTAATGGTAGCTTGCGAGTAGAAAAAAAAAAAAAATGCTGTACTTGAACCCAGAAAACTAGCATTTAAATCTGGTTCTCCCAGTACTTAATGTGAGGCTTTGGGTTATTCAAAAAAACTCTTTAAGCCTCTCTTATCTCATCTCTAAAAACCCCACAAAAAACAGGTAGAAAATAATATGCCATGCTTTTTCCCCTGGGTGGTTGTATATTCTAAAGTGGCATGAGTAAGGAGACACCTAGTAAACTGGGAAGTGCTATAGAAATGTAATATGGGATTCAGTATAATAGTTAAGAGATCTGGCTTTCAAAAACAAGGTTAGTAAACGATGTGACCTAGAATAGTATTTACCTCTCTAAGTCATTCACAAAGTTTAAAAAATCACCTACCTTATGTGTTTGTTGAGGGTGTTAAATGAGAAAATGCAGGAAATGTTTTGTTTTCATGGAACTAGGTATAGAGGGAGTGTTCAATGGATAAATCTACCATTATCATTGTTGTTTTTGCTGTTGTTATGTTGATAGAACACAGTGTTCTCAAACTCTTCTAAAAAATTGAAGAGGGAGGAACACTTCCTAACTCATTTTATGAGGCCAGCATTACCCCAATGCCAAAGCCAAAGATGCTACAAGAAACAAAAAATCTACAGACCAATATCTTCTTTGATGAGTATTAATACAAAATTCCTCAACAAAATACTAGCAAACCACATTAAAAAGATTACTCTCTGACCAGTCGGATTTATTCCTGGAATGCAAGTATAATTTAATGTGTTAAATGGCTTGGTCTCATGCATGCTAGATCTGTGGGTAACTTAAATACCCCAAACAGCTACAGGATACATTTTCTTTCCAAGCATACCATAACATTTACCAAAAAAATGGCAATTCCACTTTCCTACTCTGTCTCCTGTGGAGGTATATATGGTGTGGACACTAGGTTGAATTGTATTACTCAAAGACATACTCTGGAAGTTTCTGTTTGGGTAAATTTCTTTTCTTCATACATATTAAGTATAGATTGTGTATTTGAAACGTGAACTTTTATGACTAGTAATATATATGTATATTTTAATTCTCTCACAACCCTATATTTTAGAACTATGCCTGATACATAAGTGATCAAGAATTGCTATTAACAATAGTTATTAGTTTTGCTATAATCTCCTTCCATAAATTTATCACACAATCATGAGCACTGTGTTGGGAGTTAGGAGACCTAGATTCTAGTCTGGCTCTCAATTACTTACCTGTATAACCTTAAATAATTCTCTTAATCTTTCTGAGCACCAGTGCAATCACTAAAATAGAGGGACTTAATATAGGTGATATCTAACTTCTGTTTTTGGTCTAAGATCCTATGCATTTATAAATCTCAGTTCATTTGGCTTGCTAATTTTATAGAAGACTACCACTAACTTTGAAAACTTTGGGGGTTTATTACCATGATATATTAATGCCAGGGTGCTTCTACAGTTGACATCATAAATGTATTTGGATTCTTTAATTCATCTTTATTGCTTAATTCATAGATTTGGATTCTAATTCATCTCCTCATTGCTTAACAGGGCAAGAGGTCAGGACTTAACCATAATATTGCCACTATTATCTATAGATTTCTTCCTTCTTTCAAGATATTTTGTTTTCAGTTTAGCTATCATGTCACAATTTTACTAGTTCTGGCTATGACTATTTCATCCCAGTAATTGCTTTAATTTCATGCTGTATTACTGGTAATAAAAAAATTGGAATGGTTATAGAAAAATAGAAGGTAACTAAGTCATTGATTGCTTTCTATATGCCAACTACTATGAAAGAACCTTCATTAATCAATTTATCAAGTATTTTTGTGTTTTCTATATGCCAAGCACTGTGCCAAAGGCTTGAGGTAAATCACATAAAACATGATCCTTGTCCTTATTTAATTTTAAGATAGTACTTTAAGATATGGATATATTATCAACATTTGGCAGATGAAGAAACTAGGACTTAATTAACTTGCCCAGGGTAACGCAACTAATGAAATAAGAGCCAGAATGCAAATTCAGCTCTACATGATGCCAAAACCCATGTTAATTCCACTGTAGCAAATGACTTGCTCTTTAAGAATAGATAAAATTACTGACACTATGCAAACAACTTCCAATTTTAAATTGTAATATTAATGATTTTAATTACATTCATCTTTTATTTTTTTAAGCCTGACCAAAAAAATCAAGATTTCTTGTTTGATAGGATTTCAGAAAGTTACGTGGCACTTTTTATGAGCATACATCTAAATCGAAAGGATGCATTCTTTCAGGTAAACATAGAAATTAACTGGTTATGCTAATTATTTTTGGAGCTAATGAAATAGAAATATAGTTATTTTATTTAAATACATATGGGAACATATTTTGTTACTTTAAAAGCAAAATTTCCTGAAATTAAGTTATGATACTATTTTAATCCTCACCCAAAGACACACTTTCTATTATTATTATTTTTTATTTGAGAGAGAAATAGGAAGGGAGTAAGGGAGAGAGAGAGAAACATCGATGTGAGAGAGAGATATCAATCGGTTGCCTCTCGTACGTGCCTTGACTGGAGATCAAACCCACAACCTGGTCATGAGCCCTGACTGGGAATCGAACCTGCCACCTTTTGGTGTACAGGATGACACTCCAACCAACTGAGCCACACCGGCCAAGGCAGTTATGATACTATTTTAAAAGTTATATCCCCCATTCCAGAATATTGTATTCCCTTGACTAAAAGTCTTACAGAATCTCCCTAGTGCGATATAGGTATTTTGTTTGCATATTAATAATTTCAAAACTATTGACTCATTCCATGTATATTCTTGGTTTTTTTATATTTATCTACAAAATTATCTATCAATTTTTTTTTCTTTATAATGTATCTTTTGATCCAAGAGGACTTGAAAAGCTTATGTTATCCTTAAGGGCTAAGTACATGTTACAGTAAAGAACAGGGACAAATTTATGAATCAAAATTTTGTTTTACTTTTCTGTTATAGTAACTAATAAGTAGGGTTGATTAAAGTAATTTATGTTCCTGCATAATGTTAAGTGAAGATGGTAGGAATTTCATTGGGTATTTTAAAGTTTAAACATCTAATATTTCAAAGCAGAAGCCATATTCAAATACTTCAGTGTGTTGACATCTGTAAGTCAGAAATACATAAGTATTTTAGAGTCTGTAAATGTTTCTTTTCCCTGGGTAAAACAAACCTAAAATAAAAATAGTTAAGTGTCCTCCATAAACAAACCTAAATTGCCAAATATTTATGTTCAATCTTGACCTATATATATATACTGTGTCACAGAAGGAAACTAGTAGTGGACTTGGAATGAGACTTGGCTTCAAGTCTAGAATCTGCTACTAATTACCTGGAGGATCTTGTTAAGACATTCAGTCTCTCAGTTCCACAGCTGGTTGTCTATCAGATAAAGAGAATGATCAGATCCATGATTCATAAATTATTGTTTTGTAGAACAATGATGTTCTCAGAAAAAGAATATAATTTTGCTAATATTGATTTTGTTTCTTATTTGCAGGAAAAGGTTAATAGTTAGGATTTTGTGTAATTAAATTGTTTAGAGTTGACAAAAAACAGCTGTTTCTCTATCCATAATCTTTCTTTGCTTGAGAACCAGGCCACCTCCCTGCAGGTTTCTCCCCTTCAGAGCTATTTAAGTGAAAGTGGAGCCTCATGTCTCATTGACCAATTCCATTATTTTTAACTCATTCAGATAAGTGGGAGTTTTGTTACTATTGGCTCATCTGATTTATCTTACCTAAGGAAGAGATATTTATTAATATTTAAGAATCAAAAATTATCTTCAGGTCTCATTATTCAGTACATATTAATTGAATCTAAACATATTCAGTGTGGTTTTAATTCCCTCTCTTCCCATATCATACAACAATGTTCCCTTAGAAATTTTCCCAGCACAACTTGACACTTGATCTCTTTTTCTCTTGATCTCCTGTAGGTAAGGTGCTCACAGAAAACTTTTAGAGGTTTCCCTTTTTCATCATGCTTAACATTTTAATTTTAGTCATTAGTATGGTTTTGTGTACCACAAATAAAATATTTGATTGTTTTTGACATTAAAATATTCATAGTCCACTCAATAAAATTAAATATATTAACATATTAAAGCATGCTCTCCTCCCCCCCCCCAAAATAATCATGTTTTTCAAAGAATATCATCAGTTACCAGCAAATTTGAGCACCCCTGGATTCGGTGACTGTGTTTTCTATTGCTGCTCTAACAAGTTGTCACAAACTTAGTGACTTAAAACAACAGAAATTAATCGTCTTACAGTTAAATAGGCCAGAAGTCCAAAATGAGTCTTAAATGACTAAAATCAAGGTATCAACAGGACTAGTTTCTTTGAGGCCCCAAGGGGTAATCCATTTCTTGCCTTTTTCAGCTTCTGGTGCCTGCCAACATTTTTTGGCTTTTGGCCACATCACTCCAGTCTCTACTTCTACTATCACATTGCCTTTTCTCCTATAATAAAATTTTCCCCAGCTTCCCTGTTATAAGGACACTTTGCGATTACATTAAGGCCTGTTGTATAATCCAAGATGCCTCCCCATCTCAAGATCCTTCACTTAATGATATATGCAAATCCCTTTTGCTGTACAAATTAACATTTACAGGTTCCAGGAATTAGGACAGTTACCTGTAAAGGGCTTTTTCGACTCTAAAATTTTACAGTATTAAGGGGCTAATGTGTGATTGTAAACACTGAGTTGAATGCAGAGTACCAAAATAGTAAGTAAATGTTTTTAAACCTTTAATATAAAAATATCATATTTTTCTATGTTTAATCACTCCCTGAGAGAAATTTAGTATTTTAGGGACTACTGGTAGAACCATATATTTGTTGATATATGATCATAGTTTTAATATGTAAATAACACAATAGTGGTTACAATATATTAACTTACCTAAACAGGCTTTAATTATTTAAAAATATGCTTCTTATTCTCCGATAATTATGTGACATGATAGAAGTGTTAGCTAAGGCTATGGTTGTAACTGTATTCCAATATGTAAATGTATTATGTCAATACATTGTACACATTAAATGTACACAATGTTATATGCCAATTATATTTATATACACTTTAATTAGAATGACCTATATATGTTACTTTATAAAAGAGGTTAACAATAGCAAGGTCAAATGAAATAAATATGTATTCATCAAACCTTACCTTATTTGTTGACTTCATCCTTTATCCAAATTAAATTTTCCCCCAAATGCTATCAAGTAGCCAAACTGACTGATTTTATTTTTAACTCTTGTTTATGTTCCTCAGTTAGATGTACAAAGAGGTAAGAAATGGCCGAAAGCAAGCTATAACAAAAAAGGGAAATTTATAGTTCACAAACTTAGTAATTTTTTTGGTAGTTGAGATATGTTATATGAAATATCAAATTATTCAAATATGACTGGTTTTGGTAGGTGTATCCTGATTGTTTGGCACAAGCTATCTATGTGACATTCCAGGAAGCATTTCCAGAATCCAGTGACCTCTTTAATGATGAATTTAAAGAAGACCTAGGGAATACCATTTTTCTCTGGTTGTCAGGTATGACTAAGTCATTTAAGTATTGATCATTATTTTAGTACCTAAAACTTTTGGATTTTGTTTGCTCCAGTCAAAAGATAGGTAGTTCTTTGCCTTACAAAACATGCCATATGGATGCTTATGTTTTAAAATACTGATTATTCTTTTGTGAAATTTTTACAAAACCAAAATTAATCAGTTATTAACTTTAGAAGTAAAATAATTTTTTTATAGGCAGTGGAATTACTGCAGAAAAATGAATTGCTACAGAAATAAAGTCATGCCATATACATTTTTATATTTGGAAGATAAATATTTTAAGCTGATTTTGGAAATAATATTTATAACAAATAATATTGAATAAATTCTAGAGCTAATTGAGTTCCTCATAGGACATACAATCATTAATCAAGGAAACTTGTTTTTTGAATTATAATGTGCTTATAGGCAAGAGTGGTAGGACTGGAAAACTAAAAGGAAGTAAAATCCTGTTCTAGAGTATTTAGCTAGAGATTTAGGTACGTGGGTTTAAAACTAATGTATAGTTACATATTCCAGGAATGACCTTTCCAACATTTTTTTCTAAGACTATTATGGACTACCAGAGGCTATTGACAATTTGTAAGTGGTACTTCTTGTAAACCTTTTGGTTCAAATTTTGACTGATTTTTAAAACTGTTTTATGTCTATCCTTAGTAACCAAACCACTTCTATCAGAAAGTGTTTCATATTATAAGGAGAGAGAGACACCACAAATTCCTGTCTATTGATTTTTCAGGATACAAAATTACTATACAAAATTAGTTGCATCTCTCTAACAACAAAATATTTGAAAAAGTAATAAAGAAATCAGTCCCATTCACAATAGCATCAATAACAATAAACTCCTTAGGAATAAATTTAGACAAGGAGGCTGAACATTTGTACACTGAAAAGTACAACACTTTAATGGGAGACATTAAAGAAGGCACAAAAAAGGGAAAGATATCCTGTGTTCATGGATTGGAAGAATCACTATTGTTAAAATGCCCATACTACACAAAGTCATCTATAAATTCAATGGAATTGCTATCAAAATCCCAATGGCATTTTTCACAGAAATATAATAAAGAATCCTAAAATGTATATGGAACTACAAAAGATCCTGAATAGCCAAAGCAATCCTGAAAAAGAACAAAGTTGGAGGCATCACACTTCCTGATTTCAAATTATACTACAAAGCTATAGTAATCAAAACAGTTATGTTACTGGCATAAAAATAGACACATAGACCAATGGAACAAAATCAAGAGCCTACAAATATACCCTCATAAATACAGTCAACTAATAGTTGACAACAGAGCCAAGAATACTCAATGGGAAAGGATAATCTTTTCAATAAATGGTGTTGGAAACACTGGATAACCACATGAAGGAGAATGAAATTGGACTCCTATTTTATTTTATTTATTATTATTATTTTTTTAAATTTATCTTTATTGTTGAAAGTATTACAGGTGTCCCATTTTTCCCCCCCAATTGACCCCATTCACCTCGCTCCCACCCCCTCCCCAGGCCTTCACCCCATCATTGTCTGTGTCCATGGGTTATGCATATATGCATATAACTTCTTTGGTTAATCTCTTCCCACCCTCCAACCCCATTCCCTCTTCCCTCTGAAATATGATGGTCTGTTACATGCGTCAGTGTCTCTGGATCTATTTCGTTCATCATATTCTTTTGTTCATTAGCTTCTTCTTAAAGGAGACCCTTCAACATTTCCTGTAGTGCTGGTCTGGTGGTGATGAACTCCTCTAGCTTTTCCTTGCCTGAGAAGCTCTTTATCTGACCTTCAATTCTAAATGATAGCTTTGCTGGGTAGAGCAATCTTGGTTGTAGTTCCATGTTTTTCATCACTTTGAATATTTCTTGCCACTCCCTTCTGGCCTGCAAGGTTTCTGTTGAGAAATCAGCTGACAGTAGTATGGGTGCTCCCTTGTAGGTAACTAATTGCTTTTCTCTTGCTGCTTTTAAGATTCTCTCTTTGTCTTTAACCTTTGCCATTTTAATGATGATGTGTCTTGCTGTGAGCCTCTTTGATTTCCTCTTGTTTGGGACCCTCTGTGCTTCCTGGACTTGTAAGTCTATTTCTTTCCCCAGGTAGGGGAAGTTTTCTGTCATTATTTTTTCAAATNCAATTTCTTGCTCTCTTTCTTCTCTTTCTGGCACCCCAATAATACAAATGTTGGGCCTCTTGAAATTGTCCCAGAGGCTCCTTATGCTATCTTCATATATTTGGATTCTTTTTCCTTTTTGCTCTTCTGGTTGGGTGTTTTTTGTTTCTTCATGTTCCAAATTGCTGATTTGATTCTTAGCATCCTCTACTCTACTGTTGATTCTTCATTTCAGTTCNTTTTCGGCGTCCTCTACTCTACCTTTGATTCCCTGTAAGTTATTCTTCATTTCAGTTCGTGTAGCCTTCATTTCAAATTGGTCCTTTATTATGTCATCAATTTTCTCAATTATTTTCATCATACTCTTACTAATATCCTTGAGCATCCTTATAACCATTATTTTGAACTCTGTATTTGTTAGTTTGCTTGGACCTATTTATTTTAGTTCCTTTTCTAGAGATTTCTTCTTTCCTTTGTGACATGTTTCTTTGCCTCCGCATTTTGGCTGCATTCAGGTGTTTGTTTCTGTGTATTAGGTAGAGCTGCCATGGCTCCTGGAATTGGTAGAGTGGCTTTGTGTAGTAGGTGTCCTATAGGGTCCAGTGGCTCAGCCTCCCCAGTCACCTGAGCTGGGCCTTCTAGGTGCTCCCCTGTGTGGGCTGTGTGCACTAT